AATAAGACACTGAAGCTCAGGGGGGATGAGACGTGTAGATCTGAGGGTCCCCAGTGATTGTTGGGGCAACTGACAGTGCCAGGTCCCAGGAGCAAGTTAGACAGAGCGGAAATCGCAGATCTGAAGACACGAGCAGCTTCCTGCCCAGCCTGTTCTGTTTGGCCAGCACAGTTAAAAAATATAGACATGGTTATTTATTATAAAATACGATTATTTATTAAATGAATCCCAAAATAGAAAACAGAAAAAAAAAATCTCCTTGAGTCCTGCCACTCGCCCACAGTATTGACATTTTGATGTATTTTTTTCTAGTTTAAAAATAAACAAAAAAAACTATATGAAGTTTTTTTGTTTAAATTTTTTTTCTTGCATGAAGTGAATTCATGGAGTCAAAATTACAGTTTTGAATTCAGATCAAAATCATTCCTCCTTGGGCACAGGCAACCTTTAACCAAACGCAAGCCGTGCCATCAAGAATTCTGAAACAGAGTCAGTTAGCGAGGGGTCCTGTGCTGACAGCTCTTGAAAGGCAAGGCCACTGTTTTGTGGAAGGAAATGGCACTCCAGGCCTGAGGGTCAAGTGCTGCTTGGCCTCTTGTATCCTCTGTTATCACAGTATCTCTATTTGTTTTTTCTTTTTTCAATTTAAATTTTTGTTTTTAATTGACAAATAATAATTGTATATGTTTATGGAGTACAATGTGATGTTTGGATATATGTATACCACAGTATCTTTAAATGTTGTAAAATTAGCAGTATCTTAGTTTGATTCCCCTCAAAAGCAGGCCCTGAGACCAGGGTTTGAGCGCACGTGGTCTATTTTCCAGGTGCTCCAGTGAGCGCGGTGTGGGGTGCAGAGTGCCTGGGAGGGAGGGAACTGGGGACGGATTTGCAAATGGGCAGGGTGACACTCTGGGCAGCCGGGGCCCCAGCACACTGGGGAGACTGTGCAGGACATACTTGAAAATTGGCCCACTCAGGGTTGAAGCAGCTGAACCCTGCCCCTCTTGGGGATAGCTTCTAGGGGTGTTAACTCCCCACACTGCAGGCCTGACCAGCACAAAGACCAGAAAATGCCCTCAAGCAGGGAAACCCAAGTGCCTGAGCTAGGAAGCCTTTTGTGAAGAAAGGAACTGTCCACTTCTGTGGCAGTGACTTGACCTGAGGAACGAGACGGGCAAGGATAGCATCTCCTACTGGGGCCTACCTTTACAATTCAGTAGATTTCTCACAAAAATCTATAAGAATCATAAAAATATTAATATCAGAAAATCTGGGCTTAACAGTCCCACATGGAACGGCAAGTTGCTGTCACCTTCAGAGGAGGCATTTGCTCTCTGGTGTGCCACACTCTCCACCACTCCCTAATGTCTCGTGCCTAAGGTCAACAGGTTTTTGTTTGTTTGATTGATTTTTTTAATACCCAACACACTTGCTTCCTCTATGTTACCAGCCTGGCCCCTCCACCAAGGAGCCTGAGTTTGCCCCCCTTTACGGAGGAGACAGGCCAATGCTACACATGGCCCAATTGGCCTTCAGAGACAACATTTGATTTCCTGGGACCAAATCTTTAAATATGAAGCTGTAACAGGAACCTGGAGGCCTCTCTTGACAGCCTGCCCAGCTCTCATTATGACATTTAGCCTGTGATTGATACTGCGTGTGTCATTGAGACCTTGGCAGTTAATCTCTGGGTCGAATCTATGGAAACCAAACAGAACAGATTTGTCTTCCCCTTCCATTTTGGCTGTGATCTGGGAAACAGACGCTCCCGGCCTCTCTGAGAACTGGAGATTTGGGAGCCATGTGGAGAGGGATGCACACAAGCCGCCTTCAGGATTTGGAAAGATTACAGGTCTGTGGTTTCTGGACGGCTCCACGCTTTGTTCTCTTTCCCCATCAAATCCCCACGCCGGAGGATAATAGATCCCAGAGCTGCCTCTGCGTGCCAAGCCGCTCTGCGTAGACCGCACCACTTCCTCTTCTGTCTGGAAATCCAGCCGAGGCTTTCAGCGCGGAGATGGGGACGGGGATGGTTCCCTCCGCCGTGTGATGAAGGAGGGACGGCCCCGCCAAGGCTGAGGCCAGTCTCAGTGATCAAAGGAGGCAGATGGAGGTTTCAGAATGGAATTTACTCCAGCGTCTCCCTAAAATCACCTCTTCTGAAGCCTCCGCTAGCAGCAGGCAGGGTTCAAAATGGCCTGAAGCACCACGTTTAGGTACACGGTGCCCACACAGTTAGGTACGTGGTGCTCACGCATTTAGGTACACGGTGCCCCCAGCTTCTACTCACTTCGAAGCAAGAAGAGTGGGTGCCATGGATGGGCTGAGCTTCAGACCTCTCAAAATTAAGGCCCCCGTTGGCCCGAAGCCAGGAGAGCAAGGGCTTTGCTCCTAGGAGACTGAGGGGGCTGTGCTGGTTCCTGCGAGAGAGGTTTTTGGCTCCTCCTTGAAATAATTTCTCCCTCCTGACTGGATGCACCCAGGAGGCAGGCCCCAGAGTGGAGGGTGGCCCTGACAACCGCCCGCTCCAGGAGGCCCGGCCACCCCGTCCTCCGCGCCTTCCTCCCCTGCACCCTCCTCCTCCAAAGCAGCCCAGAGGCGCAGTCCTGCCTCCGCAGCCCCGCCGCGCGGTCCTCACCCGTTCCTTAGCCTCAGTCGTTCACGGGGGCCCGCACCACCTTCCTCTCGGCTCCGCTGCCACCGCCCAGGCAGCTATCGTCAAACTTCAGCGAGCTTCGCACGCGCTTGGGAGCTCGTTGAAACACCGACGCCCGGGCCCCTGGCCCTGGTCCAGCGGGCGGCCCAGGAATCTGTATTTTTAGCCAACGCCAGTGACTCCGCCAGAGGTGGTCCTTAGACGACCCTTTGAGCCTCCAACAGGGGCCCCCTCGGCTGCCCCTTGTTCCCACCTCCATCGCTGGAAGTGGGATGTTGCAGGAGGAAGTCACAAATCCTGGCTTCCCACGACCCCACAGACACGCGTTCTAGCCGGCGACCCTTTAAGTCATCTGCTATGGACTTGGGACAATCGAATTCCCCAAAGCAGTGGTTTCAGCCCTTTCCTTTTCTTTTCAAATTTTTATCACGGAGAAGTCCAAACACACCCCAAACCAGTCACTGCCTTGCAAGCATCATCGCTCACATCCAACCCTGCCTCGTGCACGCCTCCGTCAACGCCCCTCCCCCCAACACCATAATATCATATTTTCCCAAAGATATTATTTTGGAAGCAAATCCCAGACATTATATCATTTCATCTGCGAATATTTCAGTATATAGTTCTAAAACATAAGGCCCTGTGGTATAATTTAACTGTCCTCTGAGTCTTCTGCAAATTGGCCGTTAGATCTAGGCTCTGAGGACTCTGATAAGATTCAGGTTTCTCTCGGGTGAGACTTGTCTGGCCGTGGTGGCGTGTTCTCCCATCAGAGGGTACATAATGTCTGATCCGCTCTTCTTACTCCATGCTGCGAGCGCGCGGTACTCGGTCCCCAACGCGGCAGCTCATCGGGTGGTGTAGAATGGTGCTTCCATATTCATTTTCTGGAATACTTCTCTAAAAGAGAACATTTCCTTCATCTACCAGTAGTAGTTTGTACAATAAAGGAACAATAAATGTTAGCTTCTTTCCCTTTATTTATCCATCTTCAGTATAAGGAGCTGCTTCCCTAGCATCCTCCAACAGGGAATAATTGTTTTAAGTATCCTTATGATCTACATGTTTGATGTGTTTCAATCCACCGCAGTTATTTTTATCATTCACGTCCAAATTGTCCCATTTTTCTCGAAGTTATATTCTGAGTCCTTCGGAAATGATCCCAGTGGCCTTTGAAGCTACCAACCCTTGTTTATGCTCTTCGCATCCCTGGCCTGCCCCTTCTCACACTGCACCCCAGCCCCTCCCTCTCGGAAGTCTAAGACCTTGTGCTGCAAACATCCTCCATTTACAGTTTTCCTCAGCTGTAAAATGGGGATAATAATAGGGTATTAGGATAAGCCTACCTCACAGGGTTGTTAAGATTAAACGAGTTTATAATTGCAAAGCACTCGGAACAGTGTCTGCCGCAAAATAAGTGTTCCGTAAGTATTCATCAAATAAATAACATTCCCTCCCTGCCACTCACCTCCATGTTTCTCAATCATCCCACCCTTTCTCCCTCCCTCTAGTCTCAGAGCACGAGTACCGTTTCTCTTCCCAAGCCGTCTGACCATAGATGTATCATTTACTCAGCTCAGGGAACAAACATTGCCCGATTCCGCAGTGGATTCATTTCTTGGGGACAATGGAAACTCTTCTCCTGCAATCCACTTGCAGAGCTGGACAAGCTCCAATACACGTTTCGGTCTGCAGGCACAGCTTTCTAGCTTGGAACATCTCCCTCTTCTGTCCCCCCCGGTAAGCTAAGCCCAGTGACCTATGGCCTCCTAGAATGAGAGCTGTGCACGTTGACTTCAACCGTCCTAACAAGTTGGCTGACCCTCCTGCGGCCAAGTTGTCTCCCACCTCAAGGCTCCTAAAGTTCGGCTTAGGCACGTGGCTGCCGAGACCCAGGCCCAGGCAGGCTCTGGACTTGGTGACATGCTCTTCCCTCTGGCCAGCTGCTCCCTGCAGAGGTTGAGAGTGCTGCAGGCCCAGAATGTCAGGGACCTTCCGGGCCTTTCTGTTTGGGTCCAAAATGGCTTAAACTAGCAGATTCCAGTCAGATAAAGGAAAAAGTAGGTGCCAAAGAAGCTGTAAGTTCTAAAAGAAAGGTAGGAAGGGACCGGCTGCCTGCAGGATTTCTTAGGCCCAAAGCTGGCCTTGGCCTGCACCGGAGGCCCCTAGCACCCTGGCCCTGGAAAGGTTGGCATGCTGGGGAAGTGTCGTTTAACTGCCATCATGGCCTTCCTTGTGGACCTGTATGGCCTGGGAACAGGAAGCGCCTGCCAAATTTTAAGATGGGCTTATCCCACCTCTATTCGTAAAGCTCAGTCCCTACTTCAGTGTGCCCTGGTAACCCCCATTCTCGCCCTCTTTCCTGACCAGCTGCAGAAAGGAAAGAAAATCCCTTGGCTTCAAAATGACATCCGGAGAACCGAAGACAAGCCTAAAGAATGCCTACCTGTCATCTGCCAAGAGGCTGTCTCTGAAGGCGGAGGAGGAGGAGGAGGAGGACTACTGTACCCCCGGGGCCTTCGAGCTGGAGCGGCTCTTCTGGAAGGGCTGTCCCCAGTACACCCACGTCAATGAGGTCTGGCCCAAGCTCTACATCGGTGATGAGTAAGTGCCCAGGTGGGGCCTCCCGGTGGCCCCTCCCCAGCTCACACCCTGAGCCACCTCCTTGCCATGGGCTTGGGATCTTTAGTTTAGTTGTTTTGCGAGAACTCAGTTAGGGCTGGGCTTATCTTCCTATTACAGAAAACCCAGACAAAGGGCTTAAGCAAGACAGAGGTTTATTTCTCTCTCGCTGTTAAGTCTGGAGGAAGACGGGCTGGGGCTGGCATGGTCATTGGAGGGCCATGAGGGACCCAGGTGCCTGTGTTTCTGCTACACTGTCCTGGGGGCATGGCTTCTTGCCTCAAGGTTGCTACAGGGTCCCAGATTGCCGGTGGGGCTCCAGCCATCAGCAGTAGGATCCAGACAGTAGGAAGGTGGAGGGAAAGGAAGAGCAAAGGGGCATCTTTCCAGAGGAAAGTCCCACACAAGACTTCCTTTGCTCCTAGCTGCCAGGGAGGCTGGGAAATGTAGTCTTTTATTAAGATGGATATAACACCATCAAGAATAAAATCAATTCTCAGATTGATGGCACAGGAGCACCTCAGCCTATGTGTCTGGAAGGATGGTAGGCCGAAATTGAGGTTGCTGTCACTTCCTTTAGATTTTTATAGCCACCATTTCCCACGCCCTAAACAATTGAGTTGTGCCTACTGTAAATAATGTTAATAATGATAATGGCTATCATTTATTGAACATTATATGTCAGGCACTGTGCTAAGCATCTTGCACGCATGATCTCACTTTATTCTCCTGATAACCCAATGAAAGAGTTTATCTAATTACTTTCATTTTGGAAACCAAGGCATTGAGTAGTTAAGTAACTGGGCCAAGGTCCTACAGCTCAGTAGGTAGCAGACAGCTGAGATTCAGATGCAGCTCTGCCCAACCCAGAAGCCTTGTTCTTAACTTCCACGGCCACTCCTCCCTCCATCCTCCGGGAACCAGCTCAGGTTCCATCTCTCCAAGGAGCAGGTGGTGCAGGACCTCTGCAGGGGTGATCTGAACACCCATCTTGCTGCTTAAAACCTAGAGGTAATTGCCCAGCCACGGGAAGATCTAGGGGCATCATCCTTTGTCTTTTTTTTTTCCTTAATTTTTTCAAATTTAAAAAGTTACAAGCATTACATGTCTTTTTATTCTAGATTAAACTAAATAGAGGATTATAAAAACAAACTGCATACTCTCCCTTTGTGCCCTCTTAATCCTACCACTGACTAACCGGTATCGAGTTTCCTTGCGTACTTCTACCGCTTCATATAGGCTGTTGCAAACATAAGGAAACATATACACACGTATAAAGAGTTTCCATTTCTTTTAAACAATAAAAAAATGAATCATACCATATATAATGTCATGCACTTTTACTATTCCATAGTGCCACAATTTATCCAATCACTTTCCAGTTGTGAGCATTAGGGGAATGTAGGCGAAGGGTACACACTACTCTCTGAACCATTTTCATTTTTAAATTCAGCTTCATTGAGATATAATTCACATACCATAAAATTCACCCTCTTAAAGTATACAATTCAGTGGTTTTGTTGTGTTTACGTAGTTGTGCAACCATCGCCACTATCTAATTTCAGAATGTTTTTATCACCTCAAAAGGAAAGTCTGACCCCATCAAACAGTCACTCCCGATTTCCTGCCTTTCCCGTACGGCCTCGTAGCTGCTGAGCTACCTTCTGTTTTTATAGGCTTGCCTATTCTATGTAATTTGTACAGACGGAATCATATAACATGTGGCCTTTCATGACTAGATTTGTTTTACTTTGCATAATGTGTACAAGGTTCATCCAAGTTGTAGCATGTATCAGTGTTTTAAGCCTTTTTATTGCCAAACAATAGCTGTACTATTTTTGCAACTTTTCTGTGAATCTAAAACTAGTTCAAAATAAAAAAGGTACACACACATACATTTTGACCCAAAACGTCACTTCAAGAAGTGTAACTTATAGAAATAAGAGTACCAATACATAAGAAATATGTAAAACGATGCTTATTATAATGCTGTTTGAAGTAGCAAAAAAGGGGAGGAGGGGATCTGCATCTCTTATCTTTTAATAACAAAATATTAAATAAATATAATAAATATTTCCTTTATAAAAGTAATACATGCTCACTGTATAAATAGAGAAGTCTTAGTTTCCCTGTTTGTAATAGGGTCATAAGAAAACCTCTAAGTTGTATGGGTCAAGTGAGACAGCATGTGAAATAGTGCAGGGCTTAGCACACAGTCAGCTCTCAGTGAAGGTTAGCTATGATAATAAAATAATGACTAGTAAGAAAGAAAACTTTCAATCTCCCAAAGCAATCACCAAAGCCCATCACTCCAAAGACACTCCTATTAATATTTCAGTACATTTCCTCCCAGGCTTTCTGTGTATTGGTTTTGGTTTTGAAATTTGTTTTCATATGGTTGTAACAATATTGATAATTCATTTAATCTTATTTTTTCACATAGTATCATCCATAAACATTTCCCCTTATTAAATGTATGCTTCTTATACATTTAATTATAACTGATATATTATAATTCATGTTCTTTTATAAACAATGCTGCAGTGGACATCTTTATGCAGAATTTTTTTTTCTATATTTAGGACTATTTCCTTAGGTCTGAACCTGGAAATGTACACCTGGTGGAAGAGGAATTAAGATTTTAAGATTCACACTGTCTCTGTCTTTATCCATGCTGTTCCCTTTGCCTAAAACGTCTTTCCCTTCACCTCATCTCCCTGTCCAGGTCCTATGCATGCTTCAAAGTCCACTCGAGTCACTTCTGCCATGGGGCTAGTTTTCTCCCATCCCTATATGGAGAAGCAAGTTTTTTCTCTCTGTATATTACATACTATATTTGCCTTTTCTCTAATAATAATACCTAAGTTGTATTGAATTCTTATGTCTTGTGCCTTTGCTAGGCATCATTTAAACTCCAACCCTATGAAGGAGAAACTATTATTGCCCCCATTTTACAGATGGGAAAGCCAAGGCACAGAAAGTTCATTCAGTCAGTCAGTAAGCATTCACTGGGCACCTTGCTAGGAGCTGTGGCATATACAAAGAAGAAACTGATGCTCCAAGAAATTAGGTGACCAGCCCACTGTCACATCACTAGTAAGTGGGAGCATTTACACTCAAACCCAGATCAAAATAAATAAATAAATAAATAAACCATGTTAGTTAGGTAAAGACGCTGTTTTGGAGTTGAGAAGAGATGTGTAGGAATGTAACGGGGAACAGAAGGAGAAGTAGGTGGTGGCACTCTTACTCGAGCCTGGGGTTTGAGTCTTGGCTCTGCCAAGTACCAGTTGTGTGACCTTGGACAAGTTATTTTTACCTCTCTTCACCTTACAGGCAACAATAATAGACCATATCTTGATGCAACTCTGCCTAATCGAGCCCCAAAAGCAGCACACACGTGCACAGTCCAGGCAGGCTCCAGGGTCAAGTGCGTGAGACCTGCGTGCTCAGCTTGGGGAGGGAGCGTAAAGTCAGCATGGCATGGTGCTCGTGGCCCATCTCAGCCCTGAGCTCGGGGCTCCCTTCTGTGACACTCACTTAACAAAGTCAACAAGACTCACAGAGCAATTAATTCCATGTCAACGCCACCACGCAAAGGTTACAACCTGGGCTGTGGACAAGCAAGGCTGCCTGTGTTCCTCGGTCTCTTTTTAGGTGTTGCCCAAAACAAGGAGGTGCTCAGAGCTGGTTCTTCTGGCACAAAACCTCAGTTTTAATGATATGTGTATTTCGGTTGAGTTTTTCCTTTCCCTAAAAGTGCCTAAGTTTTTTTTTTTTGAGACAGAGTCTCGCTCTGTCACCCTGGCTAGAGCGCAATGGTGTCATCATAGCTCACTGCAACCTCAGACTACTGGGCTCAAGGGATCCTTTTGCTTCAGCCTCCCGAGTAGCTGGGACTACAGGTGTGTACCACCACGCCTGGCTAATTTTTTCTATTTTTTGTAGAGATGGTCAGGCTGGTCTTGAACTCCTGACCTCAAGTGATCCGCCTGTGCTAGGAGTGCTAGGATTATAGGCATGAGCCACCGCCCCCAGCCCACATAAGATTTTTGAGAGATGAGCACCAAGGCTCTGGAAGTGAAGGCAGTCAGGACCCAGGAGTAAGGATAGCTGTCCTGGGGCAGCCGAAGCCACCATCTGTTCCTGAAGCCTAGCCCACTGGGGCCACACTTACCCCACCCCTCCAACCTCCCCACTCCCACTCACCGCCAAGCATCTCCTCTAGAGCCACAAAGTCTGGGCCAAATACTGTTTCTGTGTGGCCCTGGGCAAGTCACTCAAACTTTCTGAGCTTCAATTTCTTCACATATAAAATGTGGATTCAATGAGTTAACGCGTAGAAACATAAATACAGTGTGTGAGGAAAGTAAAGCTCAGTCACTATGCTTTGCTGCTAAGGGTCCCTCTGTGCTAAGGGCAGCCTTGGGACCGAAAACAACCCTGGGTCAAATTTCTCCTGTGACATCAGGAATTGAAGGTCGAGTTGGAAGGAAGGCCCTTCCTCCTGGGCCTGCTCCAACTCCTTTTCCTCCTCCCCCACAGACACTGTTCTGGCCTTCCAGGGACCTGGGTGACCTAAGGCCTAAGAAGGCGGTGGCACATCAAAGCCCTAGGGGCCTGTGGGTTTCAGAATTTCTAAAGCATTTTCTCAATCCCAGGCTATCCCAAAGGGATTCACCAGGTGGGTGCCCTGGTGACCCTACCACTACAGCCTGGGGAGATGAAGCCACACACAGACAGGAGGGGACTGTGAGGGGGTTGGGCCTGGCCCCCTGTAGATGTTACCATGGGGAAGTCTTCTTCGCTCAAGGTAGAGCCACCCCCTCGCCACTTACTTCCCACAACATGGTAGGGGGTCTGCATCTGCCACCAATGGGAACTGCAGGCTCAGCACGAATGCAGCTCTCAGGCCTGACTCAGGGCACAGAGTTCAAGTCCCCATTGCATGTGGCCACTAACTGCATGTGGCCTTTGGCAAA